ATGGTGACTCTGAAGGTCGCTCCGGTCCAGCCTGCAGGGACTTTGTCGCCGGTCCTGCCTGTGTCCCCGGCCCAGCCTGCAGGGCTCCTCTACCGCAGGCGCCGCCCTCCCAGGGCTTGTCGCCTCCTCTTCTGCCCCAGGCGCAGGCCCCCAAGGGTCCGTCCCCATCTCCTCATCTGCCCTAGGCGCCGGCCTCCAAGGGACTGTCGCCTCCTCATCTGCCCCAGACGCAGGCCACCTAGGGTTCGTCCTTGTCTCCTCATCTGCAGCAGGCACCGACCTCCAAGGGCCCGTCGCCTCCTCATCTGCAGCGGGCGCAGGCCTCCTGACTCTGCTGATCCCTGCCGCCTCTCCTGTGGTCCCTCGGTTCCTCTGGGCCCTCCCTCCGGGTCCCCCTCCTCCCGCCCTGCTCCTTGTTCCTGTGGGCGTCTGGGATCCGCCCTTTGAGGGGGGGGTACTGTCACGCCCTGTCCTGTCTACTCTTAGGTTTTGTCTGTTCTCCGTTAATTGCTCCCACCTGCCTCTTGTTTCCCAATCACCATAGCTCCCGCTCCTCTTGTATTTAAACCCCTTCTGTTCTGTGTTCCCTGCCGTGTCATTGTTTCAGTGTTCCAGCGTGTGACTCTAATAAATCAATGTTAGAAGTTCTCACCTGCCTGCCTGTTTTCCTCCCCGCGTGTGGATCCTTGCCTCACCTCAGCTCACCTCGCCACACGCTCGTGACACAAGCACAACTTCCGTTTTTCACAATAAATCGATAAACAAAAGGCGTTTTTTTGTTTCATATGCAAAGGTTTAACAACTTTTAACAACTATCAATGGCGGCTGAAGTTTAAATGCACAAAAGTAAGCCATAAATACAGTTTCCACTATCAAAGTAGTCACACTTTGTTGATCCAAACACTGCTGATCTCTCAACACAAATGATGGGCAGATTAAACAGTTCATGCCGATGCTTCTCCCACGGGTGTTTGGATCTAACTTCCGCATTTATTGCTCGGACTGTATCGCAAGATCTCGAAAATCCCGCGCATGCTTGTTTGCCCACCTCAGGTCTCCGCACCGGAGCGGAGCCGTTGTAGAGTGGGTACCAGTAAAATTGAGTTCGGAAGCGAGCGGCTGCGGAAGCCGGTGGTGGACCGGAGTGGAGCGGAGGTAGTGGAATTTGGGGGTAAAGAACAATGCTAAATAAAAATGTCAACGCTATTCAAAATAGCAACATCAAAACGGGACGTGAACAAAGCCAAAACAAAGATGAATGGCCAGAAATTCCATCCGCCAACAGCCAACAATATGAGGAGAGCAGGAAACACAGAGTCGGAGAACCAGGAGAAGAACCAGCAGCTAAGAAAAAAAAATCCAGGTCGAGGCCACATAAAGATTTTTTCTTAAACTATGGATTTGTCAATTTTTCTAAACCAAATCAAGAAAATTGACCAATGTGTGTAATATGCCATGAAAAGCTTGCAAATGAGAGCTTAAAGCCAGCCAAATTAAAGCGACATTTGGAAACGCTCCACGCTGATTTGGTAAATAAACCACCGGACTTCTTTCAAAGAAAGGCGCATGAGATCAAATCATCTGCTGATCTTCTTTGCAGAAATGCCACTTTAAATGACAAAGCTCAGCTTGCATCCTGCATGGTTTCTTACCGTGTGGCCAATGAGAAAAAGCCTCACACCATTGCAGAACAACTCATTTTGCCTGCTGCAAAAGACATGGTTAGTGCAGTTATTGATGAAAAGGCTGCAGAGAAATTAAAATGCATTCCACTGAGTGAAAACACAGTTTCCAGAATGATTATTGATATTTCAAGCAACCGTGAGGAGCAGCTTATTTCAAAACTGAAGACGGCAGGGGACTTTTCCATCCAGCTGGATGAAAGCACAGATGTTTCTGACTGTGCAGCTTTATTGTTCTATGTGAGATATGTCTGGGGGAAAGAGTTTGTAGAGGACTTGTTATGCTGTTTTAATATTCTCACTACAGGTGAGCAGATATTTAACGTGTTGAACGACTACGTGGTTACAACGTCCGGCCTGGACTGGAGCCGCTGTAAAGGCATAACAACTGATGGAGCTGCGAACATGACGGGCAAAAACAGTAGGTCAGGTGGTAGAGCGGGTTGCCTCATGATCGGAGGGTCATGGGTTCGATTCCAGCTCCCGCCAGGGGTATCCTGCTGTTGTGTCCTTGGGCAAGACACTTCACCCAACTTGCCTGTGTTAGCGGTGGTCAGAGGGGCCGACGGCGCCAAATGGCAGCCTCGCCTCTGTCAGACCTCCCCAGGGCGGTTGTGGCTACAAGTAGCTTAGCATTACTAGCAGTGTGTGAATGTGAGAGTGTGTGAAAGCGTCTTTGGGGGTCTTGAAAAGCGCTATATAAGTTCAATGCATTATTATTATTTTTATTAAAAACAGCGGAGTTGTAAAAAAAATTAAAGACGCAGCCGGCGAGGACATGGTGTGGAACCACTGTTTTATTCATCGGCACGCGTTTGCATGGAAAGGAATGCCTGCTGATCTCGACAAAACGCTAAAAGAAGTTATCCGTGTTGTGAACTTCATTAAGAGCAGTTCCCTGAACTGTCGGCTTTTTGATCAGCTGTGCTGTGACGTGGGGGCGGAGCACATACACCTACTGTTTCAGGTGCGCTGGCTTTGCAGGACGAGTTCTGACCAGAGTATATGGACTGAGAAATGAAATCCATGCGTTCCTCCTGGAGAAGAAGTCCCCTCTGGCTGATCTGTTTACTGATGAGTGGGTTTTTACATTGTCATATCTGGCAGATATGTTTTCATTGCTGAATGAGTTGAATTTGAAACTGCAGGGAGAGCATGATGGCGTTTTCCACAACTGTAAACGTGTTCTCCCATTTCAGAAGTCTCTACAATTGTGGCTTGCACGCCTCAAAGGACCAAAAACATGTCATTACATGTTTCCAAACGTGTTAAAACACATAGAAGAAAATGATGTCACTGACACACAAGTGAAACATCTTACTGAACTCATTGTAACAATAGTTTTGACCGCTATTTTCCAAAAGAGATTTGATAAGTTGAATGGCAAAAGGTGGATTCAAAATCCCTTCACTTATGAAAATCCAGAATCTCTGCTTGAGTTAGAATTGACTCCCGGAGAAGAAACAGAGATGTTACAACTGAGCAGTGATCCTTTGCTAAAGAAAAGTCATGAATGCATGCAGTTGTCCTCATTTTGGATAAGCTTCTCATCTGAATATCCTTCCTTAAGTAAGGCCAGCTTTCAGCTTCTCATTCCCTTCACAACAACATACAAATGTGAAGCAGGGTGCTCACTTCTAACAAAAATAAAGACAAAATTCAAAAGTAAACTGAATGCTGCACCAGATATGAGAGTTGCATTATCCTCTTGTTGTTTATGTTTATGTTGTTTATGTGCTTAGCAGACGCTTTTACCCAAAGCGACTTACAAATTTATAACCTATAGGGTGTGTTGTGATCTGTGGGGGAAACCAGAGTACCCGGAGAAAACCCACGCATGCATGGGGAGAACACGCAACTCCACGCAGAAAGGCCGCAGTCGAGTTTCGAACCTGCGACCTTCGTGCTGCAAGGCAACAGTGCTAACCACTGCGCCACCATGCAGCTCAAAATAATTGGTACTGTTGCCATTTTATGACTTTCACCACTAAGCATATGTGAAAAACATTTTCTATGCTTTAAAACAATTTTTGGACATTTGCGTGTTCTGAATGTTTTATCTAAAAGTTTTGTGCACTACTCCATTTAATGTCCAAAGATAAAAACATTATCCTTATTCTGAAAATGTTTTGTTTTTCAGATTGTTTCTAAATACATTAAAAATAATGTTTCAAATACGGTTTTTCATTTTTATGTTCAAATTTGAGACATTTTTAAGTTAAAAAAAAGAAGAAATGCAAAGGATAGTAAAATGCATAGGATTTTGTTTAGAGAACAGTTGCATTTACAATGAGTAAAAAAATATATATATATATATATATATATATATATATATATATATATATATATATATATATATATAATGGGGTCATGATGTTTTGTCTTTTTTAAAGTGTGGGTCATCTGAAAAAAAGATTGGGAACCACTGGTTTAGATGATCCACCCAGAAGAAAAAGATCCTCCGCTACACCTTTAACTGTTGCCACATGCTTGCCCACCAGAGGACAGTAGACATGTGAAGGTAGGCAAGGCAAGGCAGCTTTATTTATGTGGCACATTTCATACACAGAGGATATTCAATGTGCTTTCCATTAGCAAGGTACTAATCCTATACTGCCTTTTGGTGCTTACAGACCAGATGGGTTTGATAGGAGTTTGTGACGAGTGTCTAAAATAACATTTAATATGGAAGGATCCACCAGAAGTGGCTTCATGCTGCTTTCTAGATGTGGGCGGATGAATGTCTGTGGCTCTGACTGCAGCAGCAGACTGTCCTGCTTGTGAGCACTTTAGGCGGGACCCACAAACCGATGCTTTGTGATGGACTGTTCAGGGTGTAGACACCAGCTTGCTGCAACCCTACTGAGGAAAAGTGGTCCAAAACAAGAGTGAGTGAGATTTCCTACAAAAGGCACGGATTAACATTCAGTCTGGACTTCTGGAGAAGCAGCGCTGGGGCTCAGAGCCTGGAGACACCACTGATTTCAGGGGCGTGGAAACTTGTTTCTTTCTGGTGAACTGATGGCATTTGTTATTGATTGTGTTCTGTGCTTGTGGGTGGAGAGGCTGTGTAATTGATTTTGTCATACACTGTACATTTCTGTTATGAAATTAGGCATTCACTCCTTCGGACTCATTACATTTACCCTAAATTAGGGGAGCGTCAACGTAGTCTCCCTAATGAAGAAGACATTTGTCCAAACACACATAGAAACACACCCTCACAAGCCTGATTGCATTCACAGCACAGCCAACCTGTACTTGGTTGAGTGCTCCACATTGACAAACAGTCTTCTCTTCCATTCTTTCCAGACTCACTTGTACACTTTTTGATGCCTGATCCTTTCTTCACAGCATGTCGACTGAGCTTGCATTGGAAGTTGTTCTCCCAAAATTCTGCAAACCAAATATTTCTTCGGTTGTTCTCCAGTGTTCGGCTGATGAAGTACCGATCAAAACCTAAAAGAGAAGAAAAATACTCTTGATCTTTTACTTTTAATGTTTGAATGGACTCCATTGTTATTGTTATGATTGCTTAAGAGAACATCTTAGTAAAACCATGAGTTGCCTCACTCATGGTCATGCATAAATGTGAGCATTTAGGAAGTTCACAGACATTGATAGGTAAGACTTTTATATTGTCCTGAATCATTTGGTGAGATTTTGCCCCTCTTCTCCCCTCCGAAGTCCACCAGTCAGTCACCCAGAAACTGATTTAAGCTAAATGTATTTTGACAGATAACTCAGGTCCTTTAATGTTTGTGGAAAACAGACGATCCACGACACAAAAAGATTGCTCAAACATTCCAACTCCAGTATGCAACCATTTCACTATCAATCTGAAGCAAATTTAACCTGTTTATTAAAAATAACAAGGTCAACCAGACATGAATATAAACAGTCCTGTGGAAGGGTATTTGCCCTCCCAAGATTTTTTTAAAGATAGGTTGATACAAAATAAATATTCAAATGATGACTCATTTATTAAGGGAATATCTACTCAAATCAACATGGCTCTGTTTGAAAAAAGTTATTTCCCCTCTTAATGGATCCTTCAGGATTTTCTGGTAGAGAGCAGGATGCATGGTTCCATCAATTACAACAAGTGGTTGAAGTCCTAAAGCAGCAACAAACAATCACACTTGCACCGCCATGTTTGACTGTTGGTATGATGTAGGTACACCAGCTGTAACAGGATGCAAACCTTCCAAAATGCTATGTGGCATGAAGTGTTGCTTTTTGAGATCTTCTAGCCTGTGTCATGTTGTCAGACTGGTTCTGCTGAAGTGATTTCTTAATTATACAAGTTCTGGTAATAATCACGTCTGGCTTGTTAACTGACTTTTTTTAATCTATTGTGGTACTCACTCTAAATGATTCAACAAAGACAGCAACAATTTTGCCACATACTGTAGGACGAGGCTGGTTGGTATAACGATGACCTTTAATAAAAGAATGGCTCAGGTTGCTTTAGTTTCAATTAAAGGCATTTTATCTCCATCCTCTGTGATTTCAAAAGGAAACAGATTTAATTCATAAAATGCAGAAAGGAGGAGATCATTGGCTACTGCATGAACATATCACTTGGATCAAACTGAGCACATGCAACAAGAAACAAAACATGCAATTTTATTTATTGTGAATACCTTTAATGGATTGTCGTTTAGGTAGGATGGTTACGGCACCTTCTGCCATCTCTTCTTGGTTCAGGATTGGAGCTATCTTGGATCCCCAGCTGTCTGAGCCCACCCAGATGAAATGGCCTGTTTGATTGGCTCTTTTGGCAGCTTGAAGGAGGCGCCTTTAGTATGGAAAAAACAACAATGCATCATTTTTGGAGTCAATTACAGCATCACAGTTATATCCCCAAAACATGGAATAAAAGAATGAATTTCACTATCATACTTGAACATAAGGCAACCAAATAGTGCTATTAACAATGTTGATACTGACTCTGGATTGAAACTCAAAAATAGTAGATCTGTCTCAATATTAGAAAAACAAGTCATTGTGATTTCATCATGAAATTATGAGATGATGATGCAGTTTGATCAGTAATTTTTCCTTCCTTCCCACTTTCTCTCAATACTCACAACATTCTTCATGAGGTCAGTCAGCCTCCAAATGAAGGACAAATATATCGTCAACTTCCAGCTTGCTGCTGATGTTTTATGTTTGGCAATAATGTCACAATATTTCTAAAAGCGTGTTTTTGTGTAAAAACTTCTGTCTATTTGGCAGTTTTGGACGATAAAGTTTAGTATTATGGTGTGAATCATAACATTTTGTGCACTGTACACATTATGCTTTTCTCCCAGTGTTTTTATATTTAGGGATTTCTTCTCTTACAACTCCCCCGGTGCTGTCTCTTATCTCCCGCTGTAAATCCAGTCTTAGGTTTTCAGATGTCAGATCCTCGCCTCTGGGTCCTGCGTTCTTCTGTGCCAAGTTCAGCTGTTCTTTCCATGTAGTGCTTTGCTTTATACAGCACATTTTTGTTCTGCATTGCCTGCCACTTGCGTTATAGTCTATGCTCAGGTCCACTCCACTACCAATATACCACCTTAGTAACCTGTCCAGCAGAGCATCTCTGGGCTTTAAGATCCCAGATGCAGAGAAAACAGAGTTTTTGTTAGATGTTTTTGGTTACCTCCCACTTATTGACATCTGCTCCAAAAATCTAACAACAGTGTCAAATCAGACTCAGTAAAGGACTAACACAAAAGGATAATTGGTCCTGAGAGGAGGTGGGATATTCATAAGATTGTGTAATTTTGCAGGATTCTCTGTCATGATCCTGAGGTATTTTCTGTTGTGGAGTGTTCTCTCTTCCCCTTTTCTGCAGCAGTTCTCCAGTGGGCGGGACGTTCCGCCTGTGAACAAACACACCTGACACTCATCAGCTCATAACCTGGCTGGTATTTAGGATGCATAACTCCTTAGCTCCTGTGCCTGATCGTCTGTTAGGGTTGTAGTAATCAAGCTCCTGAGATTTCTTTATTTTTCCACACTGATTTCATTTCTACCAGCTGCCAAATGTCCTCTGTTCATAGACTTAATTTAATAGAAAGCTCTGAAACTTATCTCAGGGATCATTCTTCATCTCTCATTTCAACTCCTGGAAATTATCTGTGAGCTCACCACCATGGAGCAGGCTCTTTCCTGGCCAACATGCCATTGTCAGTGGGCGACGGTGGCACAAGCGTTAAGAGCTCGCCCCGTTATCAGAAGGTTGCAGGTTCGAGCCCCGCTCAGTCTGTCACTGTCGTTGTGTCCTTGGGTAAGGCACTCAACCCATGTTGCCTGCTGGTGGTGCGCGAAGGGACCGGTGGCGCCTGTGCTCGGCATCTGTCAGTGCGCCCCAGGACAGCTGTGGCTACATCGTAGCTCATCCACACCAGTGTATGAATGTGTGTGTGAATGGGTGAATGACTGATTGTGTTGTAAAGTGCCTTGGGAGGTTCCAGGACTCTAGAAGGCGCTATTTCAAATACAGGCCATTTACCATTGTCCTGAACACCCTCTTTAATATCTGGAGATCCCACCTGCCCTCCAGGTCTTCACTCCAAATCCACCTGGACTGTCCTCACAGTGTCAAAACCTCTACTGCTAACTTCACCAACTATCACCCCCAGAGGAGCAAACCTCTAGTCTCTAAACCTAGACAGACCACAGCAAAAGCAAAAGGATTCATTGGAGCCTCAGCAAGTCTATCATTGGCCTGATCACTTTTGTGTCTTTTCAACCACACAGTTTGGTGGGCCAATCACAGTGCACTATCGGTTTGGTGGGCCAATCACAGTGCACTATCGGTTAGGTGGGCGGGTTGCTACAAGTGTTAATTTTCACAAGAAATTTTAATTCAGTTGTAATCTTAAGTCTTTAGACTAAAATTATTTTCAATTTAACTAAAAATGTTGTCGTATTTTAGTCGACCGAAGTAGAAAACATGTTTTGTCGACTGACCCGTTGACTGACATCTGTAGCAGTGGGCTAGTTTGAGATGAGCCAGTTCTGCGCAGATTCGATCACCGGAGATCGGCGCACAGTGCATGCCGGTTAGATTTGTGTCCGACTTAACGCCGACTTGCTCTGATGTCATGCATACGTAGGCAATGATAACCTCGTGAGATCAAGGCGGCCGAAGATTCTGGAGCAAGGCGCTGCAGTTGCTCTCCACTGGCTGCAAAACCTAGGGCATGACGGGAAATGCCTGGCTCTCACCTGATCTAAGACCTGATTGGTTCCCATTTTGATCCAAACACCCAGTGGTAGAATGCAAAATGTTAGTTGGTCACGTGCATTCTGCAAATCATGTTACGCTGATGATGACAACTATATAGGCCATTAAGAGAAATGTGTTTTGTATTATTTGTCAAATTTCCTGTAAGCACACTAAAGCTACAGCTGATAGCCTTTACTTATTATTACAGTCATGTCTCCATATGCATTATATTATATCCACAAGCATGTGAGGATGTTTTTCGGGTGCTAACAGGCACCAGAATTAAAATAAAAAAATAAACAAGTATGAACTATAACGCAATCTTCATCCGTCGTTAGGGCTGTAGCGAAGCCTCGACGACGTCGACGGCTCGATTCTAAAAATTTGTCGACGTCAGATCCAGAAGTCGACGCACCGCGCCCACTTGTTGCATCCCCAGGAGTTTGTAAATAGAGGAGGAATCTGCCTGTTTTTCCTCTAGTTCGCCCTCTTCTCAGCCTTCACTAACATCTCCGCCAAATACAGAAGACCCGGAACAATGTCCGTCCACTACTAGATTCTTCTCCTGTTTTACCCGCCTTTGTCTCCCGGCAACGGACAACAACTTCCGGGGTCAGATGCGCTGCTTCGTCTCTACTGCAGATGTAGAAAATCACCGGGAGCATTTCTCCCTTCATAAAGGAGCTTCTTTCAGACATTAGGAGAGCTGTTTTTGTGGTAGCAGTCTCTCCTTCGTGCTGGTCTGTTTGCTGCTGGGTGTTTTTGGTTTATTTAAACTTGGTAAATTGAACTTAACGTTGGTAAAGCTACTGTTAGCATCTTCGCTAACAGCTTCTTGCGTTTGGATAAGCTGTTACGTTTAGGTTTAGAGTTCATCTTTTTTGTGGTGTAGATCTCCCTTTTATTACATTTAGAGTGTGTGGGTTTTCGGTTTAGTGTAAAATATCACCTTGAGTTTGGTTTAACCACCCAGTTTAGAGTTTGGACTTTTGGAGATCCTTATTTTGGTCCAGAACCCAGTAATCTTTGCCCAGTGGGACATCCCTACTTATTTGTACTTTGTTTTAATTCCCCACAGGCAGAATTAGTTTTATTATTCCCAACCTGTGGATGGAAAGATTTATGATTTTTTGTAGTTGTAAATAAACCTGATCATCATTTTAACTTTTAAATCCCGTTATTGTCCCTTCCTTTTTACACACGAGCCAAACTCCCCAGGAAGAGTCGTAACACCACTCGCCTCACGCACATAAGTGACCAAAACAAAGCAGCATGGAGACACTCCATCTTCTACCACCTCTCAGGCAGCAGCCTGCACTCCCAAGTTCTACACATCACCAGAACATAAGCAACCAACACAATAAAAGCAGTGTTATACAAAATGGAAGGCCTGTAGAGTTCATTCTCTTACAGTAAGAATTTATCAATTTTTTTGAGGAATTTGAGATTTTCTGGTTTTTGTTAATTGTGCAATAGAAAAATAATCATTAGATTAATTTTCTAAATATTCATTAGAATAGTCGACTATTCGATAAAATAATCGTCAGAATAATCGTTTTAAAAATAATCGTTTACCCCCAGCCCTATCCGTCGTCACCCGCGAGCTACACCTGTAGGGAAATCTGTCCGACTTAAACGCCGGCTTTCAGCCACCCCCCCCCACCCCCCACCCCCCACCCCCCACCCCCCCGCTGTGTCCGTCTGCTCTCATCTGTTTTCCAGGTGAGGCACAGCTCAACTCGAACAAGCCCAGTGAGTATGTCACATTGTTTGTTGTCCAATAGCATGTGGAGACAGTTTGAAAGACAACCATAGATTCTGATCCACAGACTCTATGTCCATGGACTGAGTTCTCTCTGTGGGTTGTGGCCAGACTATAAATTCAAATTTATAGGATGGCTCTAATAAACCTCCTTACAAAAAAAAAATAATTGTTTTCCAATCCATCTACAAGTCCCACCTGAACTTCATTTATGTTCCTTTAGTCTGAACAGACCCTGGCGTTGCACCAACAGACATTAAACTTGTAAATATGATCTAAACTCTCATGCTGACCTCCTGGTGTTTCTGCACCAGTAAACCTTTTATAGAGTAAATCCGGATGTGTTAGGCTGCGGTTTTTGCCACTGATTTCAAGAATAAAGCAGGCATGCCACGCAGCGACCCCCCCACCCCTCCAACTTTCTGTAATTACCACATATACAGACTATTAACTGCTATCAGGACTGGATTAAGTCAATGAGCTCTGGGATTTCTGGCCTGTCATCAACAGGAGACTGGCCCACATCATTGTCCACATCCTCTACAAACACAGGCTTATTAAGTGGTAGCTGGGAAATGGTGTCTCTCAAAAAGCCACAACAGTGTCTCTGCGTGTGTTGATTCAACCAACAACCAATTTACAAATTCCCATTCAAGACAATTCTTTTTGATGTTAGATAATGAATATTAGCTGATGAAATTGTGTCTCCACAAGGAGATCAGAGACACCATTAGCATTACAGTTGTCTTTCTAGGACAGATAATAAAGGATGAGTACAGCAGGAAAGATGCCAAATTGGATTACAAAGCTATTA